TTGAAAGCAAAGCTGTACTCAATGGCCTTGCAAATTATTTGAAGGTTCATTGACGAGAGTTCGATCGCATTATACCAATTATTCCCTGCCACCCCCCGCCCCCCGCGACGAACAGGTGGAAAGCGAGCGTCCCAAGGGATGCCGCCTTAGCGGACCCCCCTAGCGCCTTAGCCCCACCGCCTGCCGCCCCTCGGAACCACCACCGGCGCGAACCTGGGGCGCCTTTCGGAGGCGAACCCGAGGCCGAGTTCGACGAGGCGAGGCGCATCCGCCTCTTCAGGAGCGCGGCGATGCGTTTCTGGCTGCTGCAGCGCGGAGGCTTCTTGTAACCTGCCCCAGCTCCGTCCGGTGCAGCGGTGGCGGCGAGCCAGGAGCGGCTGAGCCGGGGAGCCGGGGAGCCGGGAGCCGGGAGCCGGGGACCGAAGCCTCAGGCCGAATTCGGATGGAATCCTAGCCCAAACTTGAATGGCATTTCGTTCCTTCAAAGAACCCTTGTTGTTGACTTACTGTAATATCTATATCTATAATAAGGATTGTACTCACCACAAAACCGAGGCCTGTCCCGAACTCTTTTCCTTGTCTTCTCCAAAGGCCGCCCAGTCGAGTCGCGACCAGTTCCCCGCACGTCTGGAGGTGGAAAGGCCACCCCCAAAGAAAATTCAGCTGGGAAATACTTTTCGTGAGGTTGAGATCCAGAAGCAGTGTCCCTGGAAAATAGAGGTCAAACTTTTTCCACTGGTTCTTATTGAAGTTATTGAAGTGAGGTTTCGATTCCCCCCCCAACAGAATGGTGACCTGCAGGTGATCGATCCACATCAAACCTTCCGCCGGATCGCCGCCTGAGCGCAGCTGCGTCTCATCCAAGCCCGAGAAGCTGTTCCGCCTCGCCCCAACCAACGCACCACCCGGTCGCCGGGGCAGGAGCACGCCCAGCCCGAGGGTAACGAGAGTAAAGCGATCCACCATGGAAGTGGTGAGTGAAGCATCCAATCTTGATGTGATCTTCCGTACCAGTCCAGTCCAACAAAAGTCTTCAAATCACAATCAGACGAACGGTGACCCGTTCGTGCTGAAGAACCCTCTGTTATCGACTATCCCAGTTGGGTAGCTACAGATCAGGTCACCTGCCACCTCTCTTGGTAGGGCGGTGCCAGGTCACCCAATCTTCACAGGTCACCGACCGAGCTTGGTCGGCGTAAACCAGCGAACCGAACTTGGTCGGTGATGTGGCTAACCATCAACAAGCGAACCAAGGGTGCGAGGCCTCGGACTCCGAGTCGGGTGATGGTATTCTTTGGTCTTCGAAGTCGTGGCCCACCATGAATCGGCGGAAGATCCCCAAGAACCAGCTGCACATCCGGATGTTGCACTACAACCGGGTGAAGCAGTAGTTTGTACATGGTCGAACGGAAGTCTATGGGTTAGGGTTTAGGGTTGGATGCATCCATCTCAAAACTCAAAACACCTACCGGGATCTACCAGGCTCCTCCAAGGATTGGCAGGCTCCTACCGATCCTGGAGGGTTAGGATATACTCTATAGGATTTGTGGCCCATTGACACAGAGTGAAGGCTTTCGAGATCTCCTGATGGATGGGACAGTATCAACCCTACCAGCACCCGACTCTACAGGTCACCAATTGAAACCTTTTAGAGCCCAACAAACCTCCATTTCGGAGACCTGTTGGAGGGTGCTGGTAGGAATACTGACTGAATCCCGAAAAACCATTTCTCTAAACAAAGCCAGGTCGTTCCCAGTTGCTTCGTCTTGCGAAAGGCATATGCTACGTCGGTGAGCATGACACGGAAAGCTTAAGACTGTTCTGTTCCTTTCTGGAGGTGAACACCCTCAACGGCTAACCACAGAGCTTTATGTATTGACTGACCCGCAAGCCATGCCTTTCTTTACATAACTTGTTGGCATGAAAGCCGAAAATTCTTAAACCTACAGGATCACGTGTCTTGCTGCTTGGCAGGTCACCTGTCTGGTTCGACCCTGCCAGGGCCCTCCACTTCAAACCCTCCATGTCGGAGACCTGGCAGGTGTCGGGTGCTGGATGAAAGCCGCAGTTGTATGTTGGAAGAGCTATTTTCTGCCGAGCATGTTTCTCTCCTCTGCAGCTCAGTTCATGGATGCACAGCCAACTTTCCATTCATCAAAGCTGCCTAGAAACCCTGCCACTTCCCCGTGGCCATGCAGACCCGCCAAATCCTCCGCTGTCAGACCATCCCTGTTCATCTTGTCTTTTTGAGCTCCAGCGTCCAGCAAGAGCCTCACCACACGGAAGCAGCCATTCTCCGCAGCCAAATGCAAAGCTGTATCTCCGAACAATGTCACCTTGTCTTTGTCTGCCCCAGCCTGCAGCAACCGCCACACAATCTCCACGTGATCATGCTGAGCTGACACATGTAACGCCGTTGACCCGTCACTCATTTCCTTCTGGTGGTCAGCACTGGCTTCCAGCAAGAGCTGCACAACTTTTAGGTGGTCATGTTCAGCTGCCAAATGCAAAGCTGCCGCTCCGTGACTTGTGGCCTTCTCTTTGTTGGCACCAGCCTCCAGCAAGAGCTGCACAACTTCCAAGTGGCCAATCTCAGCTGCGAAATGCAAAGCTGCGTAACCAAACGAATCAATCTTGTCAACCGCAGCACCAGCTTCGAGTAGCAAAGCTACACATTGCCAATGGCCTGCCTTTGCTGCGGCATGTATGGCTGTCTTCCCATCTTGATTTTCAAGGTCCGGCGAGAGTGGCAATTTCAAGAGCGATTCTACCTCCTCCCTATGATTTCGAGCACAAGCCCACGCGAGCCGCTGGCCACCCTCCGCTACCCGTCGGAAACCCACAATGATCAGCTGGACATTGGAAGACATGAAGGATTCATCATGCAACTCCTTCTCTTCACACAGCCATCTCTGATCTTCAAGCGCGAGGCTCCGCTTCGCCAACTGGACCTTCAAGGATTTCACCCGCCTCCCAGCATGGCAGCGCGATCAGCGCTGCGATCACAAGAAGCTCGGCTCGATCCGCAAGCTGCGCTTGAAAACATCCAATTTCGATGTCCATGATCCAACTGAATTCAAAACGAAGCAAACGCAGCATGGAATGATGGAAAACATCAAAAATGTTTCTCTTTGAGGAATCTCTCGCTCTATGTGTGTATCTATGTGTGTATTAAAAGAATATATATATCTATTATATTCTATTATATAGTATGTGCATTTATGTGCGATGCTTCTAGACTCACAAAGTTCCTTGCTGATCAAGGGCTACAAAAGACACGTTACAGTCATTATAGGTCAAAAGTGCCCAAACAATGGCATGGATGTCAGCATAGATCACCCCAACAATTCCACAATACTGGTAAAAAGTAAACGAAACATGTGTGGCAATGAGCAAAAAAAGCAGAAAGCCGCTTCACTGGACTGAAAAGAGGAAGTTCCGAGAATGTCCTGTCTAACCCTATACCTAAGGTACTTAACCGCCTCACTTCGCCTACAGAAACGTTTTCCTGCTCACCGGTGGCAGTGGTGCTGCATGCGGATGTCCACGTGAGGTTCGAGTAGCGATCTACAAGAACCAAAGGGTCAACAAGTCAGACCGTTTTTCCAAATCGCCGACTGGAGTTCCCCGGTGTCCGACTGGAGTTCCCACAAAAGCTGACTCAGCTTCACCGATTCTCGGGTCCGCTTCGGCCGTTTTGCGGGGTCCCATCTGTTTTGCTGAAGGACTCAAGTCCTTCCCCAGCTGTCCAGACTAGAGACCATCTTCTTGGGGAACAATGCGGTCTGACTACTCACATGCGTTCCATATAATGTAATATATATATATATACTCCCTGAAATCCGATACAATGGTATTTTTTCAAAGTGCCTTTCGGTGACCCCAATAGGAACTTCCCTTGAATGTGGTGGCTCCCGCCTCTGCTTGCCCTCCGGGTGATGATCCTGCGCCGTTCGACTCCGAAAAGGACCCGAATGGCTCGGAGACATCAACGACATCAAGCACCCTGAACCCGAATCCTTTGGAGGGGTCTGGGTTCTCAAATCCCTTAATTTAGTGTATAATATAATTGTATACCAGGACCTTCCGTTTGAGGTGTCTATAAATAGCCTCTTAGAGGTTGAGAAGTGTCCAAAAATCAACTGTTGGGAGGTCCTGGTACATATATATCCAGCAGCCGCAACCTGCCAGGTCACCGCTTTTTTTCTACCACTTCAACATACAAAAGTCTCTAACAAAAAGCCCACCAGGGGGAGACTTCTTGGAGGGTGCTGGTAGTGACCAATCATCATGCAAACATCATGGTGTTAAAGAAATATGAAATATGGAACACATAGAGTCATAGAGGTTGGTGGATGGCCCCCAAGCAGCTATGTTCGCATGGACTTCCCAACTTCTGTGTCCCACAACACTTGCGTCGCGGAAACGATTCTTATGATTCTTTCGGACGTGCGTCGTGGTCCTTCACATCGGTTTCACCTCTCTCCCAGGAGCTTCCCAAATCCTTCCGTTCGCCCCGGTGGTGTTTGGGGGAGGATAGACCCCTCAGACACGAGGGCTATGAAGGTCCATCTCTGCGACCCCAAGGCCCTGGGCCGGATGTAGGGCGAAGCAGCTGAGCTGCTTGCGACCCCCGAAGCGGCAGCGCCAGCACCGTTTCGCGTGCCCTGACCTCGTGGTGAGCCATGAGCTTCTTGGGCGCACCCTGCAAGAGCACCTGTGGTAGGGCGGATGGGTTTCGGAGAAGCTGGAGGGACGCAACCCGTTTAGCTGGGGCACTGACAGCTAAGACTGCAGCCGACAAGCTTTGAGGAAAAGGCAGCTTCTAGTGCCAGGGTCATTTGTTCGTCCCATCCACAAAAAGGATGGTCAAAACTGGCTGGTTGACCACCGAACATGAAAAGAATGAGCTACCAGGTTTGACCCACAGCCACATGTTCAACCCGCAGGTCTCTCCTCTAGCTTCATCAACTGGTGGTCTAGGAGTCTTCATCCAAAGCCAACGACACACAGATAGCGTTCCGCCTGGTAGAGAGAAACAGCAAGAATGGTATAGCCTAGCCTTTCTGCAAACCTCTCTACCTGTCAGAAAACCGTTCGACCCGTGCGTGAAACATCATCTCTTCAAAAAAAGACACCTGGAAGTGGAAAGGGGGCCCTTGGACAACTCCTTTCCTTTATGAGGACACCCTAATGATCAACGACCGGTGCAGGTCTTCAGCGTTCGACGGTTCTGTGATATTTTGGGTCCAAAGCCTCCAGGCTGCAGGCGGGTCCAGTGATGCTTAGGACAGGTGTTTGGTTCACTTCCATGCGATGTGTTTCTCATACCAACACCCGAACAGGGCCAGGAGTTGAGGGTTGTTGGACCATGTCTCAGGCCTCAATTGGTGACCTGTAGAGTCGGGTGCTGGTAGATTTTGACGCATCTCTTGCACCCAAAGTGAGGCGCAAGCACGTCGTTCGACTGCACCAGGCAGAAGCCACGACTGCCACGGCTGCCACGGCCTTCGCCCGAAGCTCTGCCAGCTTTAAGTGCTTCTTCTCAGCAAGGATCTCCAACCTGTGGATGGACGAAAGCTTGTCCATGCTTGTCCATCCGATTGTCCAGCCGCTGGTGTTCTTGTTTGTTATGGGAAAAAGCATGATAAGAAGCTTTAAAAAGAAGGTAAAAACCTTCCGAAATGACAACTGAACACATTCATTGGTCATGAGTCATGGGAGGCTTGAACAAGGGGCTCCGGGGCCGACATTGCTGAATCGAAAAACTCCAATGTGTGGCATATTCACTTATAGTCATCCTGGACTGGATAGAATATGAGAGAATCCAGAATCCTAAAACAATAAGAAACTGGTCATGGTTTTGGATTGGTTCATATTCTATGCTCTCCAGGATGATTATATAATCTTGGACAAACATCGGTTTACTGAGGACACCATTTTGAAATAGATTAGTCTTCGAAGGCTAGTTAGGATATGGGGTGGTTTCAGGGGTCAATGTTGATCAATGTTGTCCCATACATGGAGTGTGTGGGTAAGAATCCATGTGGAAGCAATAGCTCCTTGGTCAAGCTCAGAAAAACAATGACCGACGAATCGTATGACAGTCCATCGGTCTAAGGGACACATGGACCCTGATTCCACGGCCTCCCAGAAGGGCCTGGTTCAGACAGTTTCTCTCCATCAACCACTCGCATGCAGAACACATGACGACGTCTGCAGAGGGGCTTTGTGCGATACTTTCGGCAAATTACATCAACCAAAACAATGAGCAGCACCACGGAAAGGGCGGCTCACAAACACCCCCGGGCCCTGACCTAAAGGTATGTTCCTTCCAATAACCACCCCTTGCGTGGTTCTGGCCATTGTGAATGATCAAACACCCCACTACACTACACTGCCACATAACCCATAAGACTTAAAAGACTCATCGCTTCCGCTTCGGCACCTCATGGCTGTAACAAACGGAAAGCTCTCCACCAACCCAGCTACCGCGCAGCACGTCCCTCCACGGATCACGTCCCTCTCAGCGCCCGGGCGCGAACTCGAACTGGAGCGGATCGATGGTTCGAGCCGCGTGGTCCTGCCGTGCCGCCCGCCGCCCGGGCGGCACGTGCGTGGCGTACGCGGCGTGCCGACGGTCGCGTCGTGGCCGATCCGCCATGTGACCACGCAACGAGCCATGGATGAGTGGCTCAGGAATTGCTTCACTCCACTCCGTGAAGTTCGGATCTTCGCTGGTCGGATTGGAATGGTGAAGACTGCCCACCCGAAGCGGGGGGCGGGATGGACCGGAATGGACGGGAATCCTGCTACACCCCCCGGTGTCCTTCACGCGGGTGTCTGAGAAGATCAAGTCCGCCTTGGCATGGCGAGCCCGATGCGCAAAGATAAGAGGGGTAGACGGCCTGTGGCTTCCTTTTGAGGTGCCCATGGTTTGATGTGATTATAGCTGAAAAGCCAATGCCGCGAAGCTCTCATCTGTTGGTACTTATGACTGAACACCTCTACAGCAGTAACTCGGAATCCATCTGGCTAAGCAGATGCTAAGCAGATGCTAAGCAAATGCTAAGCAGTGTAGTCTGGATGATGAGGGGCCGATCGGGCCGGTTTTTAGGGGTCCGATCTCCACGTTCTCTCCTGGCTGGAATACCCAGGCCACTGCTTGTGGATCTCCGGACAGGACACCCCGACAGGAAGGTGTAGGTAGGTGTAGGTAGGGCGAGTGCGCCCTGTTTTCACGGAGCGTTTGGGTGAGGTAAGGCGGCCGAAGGAGCGGAAAAAAAGACATTCCAAGACGATTTGCTTGGTCGTGTTGAAACGGAGTCCAAGACTGAAATGCGGACTAGGTGACTAGGAGCGCAAAAATGCCACCAAGAAACCGAAGCCGATTCCCTAGTATTCCAACCGCTGTTCCATGAGCTTGTCACCTTTCCAGCCCTTAGCGTTTGGATTGTCCCTGGCACCGGCCTCCGAACCGACCCGGCGCCGGGCACCGCGTAGTAAAACCCGGGCCGCCGGGCCATGACGCTGTCCATCGGACCATCCAAAAGGCCGCAGTCCTCGCCGGATCGGTGTCCAACGCAAAGAAGCGTAATGTTGGATCCTGATTAGTAAATAGGTCCTCTATAATGCTAAATTTTTCAAAATTTATTCAGACCCCCCCCCTGATTGAAAAATGGTACCTCTATAATGCTAAAAAAATTTTGGACCCTAAATTTTTAAATTGGAAACATTGGAAACCCAATTAATAAGGGTTTGAATTCCTTCTGAACCCTGTCCACCTGCACTCCCCCCTCCCTTCCCAGGCAAGCAGCCAGCAGCAAAGCAAAACACAGACAAACAGACCACCAACAAGATGTTAACTAACTAATTACAACCCTAGTCCCAGAGGCCAATGATTATGATTCATTAGCTGATATAGCTTTCTCTAGGTTTCTTAAAAACTGACAGCTGACCAAAACCACCAATTCCCCAATTAAACCCTTT